TTTCTATTCATTTGTGTTTTACCATGAGGCTCATGGTTTGTTACTCCTTCCTTCTTGGGTGGTTACATGGCATCTGCCTGACTCTGCTTCCTTTCCTCCTCTGATCTAATCTCTGACCCAATCTTTCCTCCTCCTTCGAATCTCTGATTCGATTTTCCGCCCTGCCATAGGCCAAAGCAACTTCTTTATTAACCAGTAGTAATAAAACATATTCATTGCAAACAGAGGGGATCCCACATCAGTGAAGTTTTATCACAAAGGAAATCCATACCAAGGTACTTTTCAAATACATTGATGGAAACATCAGTCTGGTGCCTGCAGCAATGCAGAGACCAGGCATGGGCCTCAGGTGCTGTCTGAGCACATTCGCAGCATTTTGGATGGTGGAAACTAGGAGTCAATTAGAACATAATGAAAGATTTACCTATTAGTCACAAAGACATTAAGTCACATATGGACCTGGGTAACAACTGGTCATTAGGGGTCAAGATAGTCTAAGACAATTTGAACTAGATCCTGGACTAGCAACAACCTCCCCAAAATCACTGAAGTTCTAATCAGCCTCTGATCCAGCCTCTTTCCAGGAATTTTCCTCCTCAGCATCCCCTGTTGACCAAGCATCACATTCTGTGCATGTGGAGGTGAGATATTTTATTAACTATTATTTAATGTCCTTCACTGCTAGGAAGCCTCATTCCTAGGAGCCGTAGATGAGGCTCTGTAAACAGGTGAGCACCTTCAGGAAAGGGTGACCAGTAAAAACATTAAGGAAGAAAGTCCTGGGTCATCTATTAAAGTCTACAAGACATTATGATCCAGATCTGATTATTACAATCCTCTGTATTGTACATAATGTGGTATATAGTAAAAGTAATCTGCCTATAATGAATATAATCAAGATCACTGTCTGCCCTAACTAAGAGAGGGTAGCAAATAAAGGAAATGGGCATTTTAAATAATAAAATTTAAACATTAAAAAAGTAGACTGACTATAAGTTCCACTGCGTTCACAGCTATTTTTAGTCTATTTGAGGTATTTAAACACATCTACTATCACTCAAGTTTGGTTTTTCTTTTGGCCTCATGAGGAGTGGCTGCCTCTACTTCTTAGGACAGATTGGTCTAACTTAGCACCAACTTTACTTGTGGATGTTAACTTGATCTAATTTGTTATCTTGGCAATGTACCAGACTTCATTAGTGAAAGCAAATGGAAATTACATTATAGAAGAAATTAGATAGCGATATAGTATCTAAATTTTTCTTTTAGCATAATTGTCTCTTACTATATACTAAATATTACTAACAAACAGTGATAGAAATAAGAGTTCAGATTTGTTAGAAAACAGAATTTTATAGGCCTTATAGGCACAGCTAAATCTTATTTGTGTGTTTTTATCTTAACAGAAATGAAAGGGGACTCTAGTGGGAGTCATGTGATATTGTCCAATTTATTTTTTAAAAATCCATGTAGCTATAATGCAGGATACCTCAAATATTCATTTAATCAAGAAGCACTGGGTGTGAAGGTACAGAAGATCACAAGATAAGTTATTAGAGATAAGTGTGTTTTGTATAATTTGTGTAGAAGAGTTTTCCCTAATCTCTGGCTAGAGTAAATGGAGTTAAATTATTTTAAGTTTGTCAATCTTCTGAGCACAAAGCAGGGCCTTATAGAGTGTTAAGTTCATTGTACCTTAATGTTTTTAATATCATTAGAGTAATCCTCTTGGTTGGACACTTTTAATATTTTCCCCATTTTTAGTAGAAAAAAATTGTCTAACAGTTTTGAATTTAAAATCTAAGCACCTGGGGGCTGGAGAGATGGCTCAGTGGTTAAGAACACTTACAGGGGACCTGAGTTCAGTTCCCAGCACCCTCATGGAGACTCATATCCACCTGTAACTCCAGTTCCTGGGATCCAATGCTCTCTTCTAGACAGCTCAGACAAAGGCACACAGAAGGTGCGTGCACACACACACACACACACACACACACTAAAAATTAAAGTAAACCCCTATTAGAAAGGGGGGGCCTCAGTGAACACAGCTCATAGAAGAACCAGAAGGAGTTTGCAGAGAGACAGAGGTGGCACGCATTGTAAATACTCCATCTCCTCCCATCAAAATACCAATCAGATCTGGGCTGTTCAGGGTGAAATGACCATAGACAAACACTGCACATTCCTAAAAAGAAGCCCGTTTGGATGCCCAAGTGGCACACAGAGGTGTTCGTGAGTTGTCACAAAGAGGCCCTCACGCCATTTTTAAGCCTCTGTGTCCAAGCATGTTGAGTTAAAGGGACCTACAAGTCGCCTTTGTGTGTGACAGCCAAGAGGTGTGTAGCTGAGAATGGTGGAGGCGTAGCTTAGACCTGTGTCAGCCATGCCACGATCCCTGAGTGCAGTTGTAACCAAGTGTGACAGCCCAGGTTATTTACACAGAACAGAAAGTTAGTTCTCGCAGTTCTGAGGGCTGGAGAGTCCAAGGTCTACGTTTGGTGTCTGGGAAGGGTTGCTGTCTGCATCCAAGATGTCGCTTGCAGGGCATTCTCAGATGGCAAGTAGGAGGCTACTGTCCTGGGTTGTGAGATAATCTTTTTGTGCACTGTGAAGATGTATCTCTCTCTGCCAAGGCACTTTCTGATTGGTTTAATAAGGAGCCAAATGGCCCATAGCTAGGCAGGAGAGGATGGGCAGGACTTCCAGGCAGAGATAGGAACCCTGTGAAGCAGAGAGGAGGAATTTGCCAGTGTGAAGTAGAGGGAGTTTGATGTACAATATGGAGGAGAGGTGTCCAGCCACGTGGCAAATGTAGATCAATATAAATGGGTTAATTAAGTTTTAAGAGCTAGTTGGAAATAAGCCTAAGCTAAGGCCAAGCTTTCATAACTAATAACAAGCTTCCGTGTCATTTGGGAGCTGGTAATCCCCAAAGAAAGTATGAGTGCTGTTGTGGGCCGCTCTCTGAGACGCCAACCCATCCTGAGCATGCTGCCTTCCTCTCTTAATTGCCTCCTGAAACCCTGCAAACATACAGAGGTGTATCCAAGCAATAGCAAGCTAAACACAATGACTTAGGCAGAATCCATAGTTCCAGACCCCTTCCTTCGGGAATGGCTAGCCTGGGGGCCCAGAGGTGACCTCCAGACTCCTGCCCTCCTTTCTACTGCTTCCCATCAGCGCAAGGGTAACCTGGGCAAAAGCAGGCCCATAGAAAAAGATGACGTCGTACTCAATGATTTCAACAGAGCTTGTTGACTGGGTTCCCATTGGCTGGCTCTGGGCCATGTGACCATCCTTAAGTCCTGCAAGAAGACTGGTGCTGCTGGCTGGAACGTGGCAAAGGGTGCAGATGCTGCGTCCATAGCTGTGGCTACAGAACAGATTCCTCTAACAGTCAAGTCGGTGAGGGGTTTTGTCAGGTCCTAAAACGTGGGAAACAAGTGAGGACTCTTGAGGCTCATCTTTCCCAAACGGTCATCCGGAACCAAAGGGATGAAGAGTGGTATTCACACTTACCAACACTTGGAAATTCCACCCACCAGGCAGCCCTCCAATGGCAAGCCTGGGAAAATGCTGGTTTCTGCTCACTCTAGGCTCGCCTGGTGCTTTTAATAATCAAGCAGTTCTGGCTGCTTCTCCTGGCCAGACGTCAATGATGCGTGCTGCATTCTGCCTCTCGAATTCCATTTCAATTTCCTGTGGAACTCCTTCTCCCCCTTTCCTTTCATCTTTTTTAATTTTAATTTTTAAAATTCCTTTTTTCCACCCCCCAGCCTAGTTCTACTTCTTGGCTATATATAAGATCTGTGAGCCACCCAGAGGTGGATGAGTGTTTCAGACAGACAAACAGACTGGTTTTGTCCTCAGTAGCTCTTCCTCACTTGAATGTGGAATGAAACACACCCAGACCCAGAGTTTATCACCAGGGTCCCCATCTTCTACAGGATGGCAGTAACTCTTAGAATGCGTTGCAACAAGCAAACAAACATAAAACTCACCAACTCAAATCACCCGAGATGCTACAGGAATTTGGTGTTTAGACACAATAAGGCTTCAGGCATGGTTCGATCAAGCTTCAGCACCGTGTGGATTCTCCCCCTAGGAGCAGGGATTCTCATCTTTACAGGGTATACTAGATACTTGAAATAGCATCTAGAAAAATATTTTTGAATGACTACGATTGTATCTGTCTATCTCTGCATGTTGCTTTGGTCTCGAGCAGTACAGAGCAGAGATGAGGTAAGGTTTCTTGCCTCTCTCACCCCACCATGGCCTCCAATGGGCATCCACTGCCTTTATGAGTGGATATTAAATCCTCTGGCTTTACTATCGTGTTAAATCCTTACCAAGTGAGCCAAGACCAAACCTCTGCAACTTTAAGAGACAAAGATGGTGTCAGCATCTGTCTTTAGATATCCTCCCACTGTCCTGTACAGTACTGGACACCTTGAGAGTTGCACAGATGAGCAGCTTCCTTCCAGCCGGCAGGACCATACGCTGAAGCCAACTGCTAGTCCTGCTGGTCTGTGGGTTTTCAAACTGGGAGCAAAACCCTTTCAAACCATAACTGGTGCCAATTGGTGCTGAAGGAGCATGTGCTAGCCTGACCCTCTCTAGGAGAGCCCTGTGTGCTGCACTGCAGTTGAGGAACCCCAAGGCCACTCCAGGCTAGCCTCCAGCCCCACTCCCGTGCTGATGTGCTCTTCCAATGCCAAACAATTTCAGTGTTGGAACTCCAGCCCTTTCTGTCCACAGAGCACCCCAAACCTCCACATCACCTTCTCTTAGACAGCAAGGTGTGCCCAGTGAGGAACTGGTAGGATATCTGGCTACTTATTTCACATGCTTAATTTTTTTGTCTTTTTATTTAAAAAAAAAAATTGAATGTCCTTGGGATGAACCTCCTGGTGGAGAAACTGATAGGTTGTGGAGTAGGGAAGCAGTTCCGAGGACTCTGCCAGGCCTGGACAAGTCCGAAGACTGACTGACCAGTGAGCCCAAGGCAGGGAGGGAGCATGGGCAGAGCATGCCAGGCTATGAAGGCAGAGATGGCACAAAGAGAAATCCCCGGTTTCTCCGATGCGGGTGCTGGGCCAGTGGCTGAAGAACGCAGGCGAGGGCTGCTAAATCAATTTATACGCTCACCGTTGTTTCCTAACTTCCTGTGAACCCGCACGGGACAGACAGCAGCAGCCCCCGGATGCTGTGATGGTCTCCTTGCTCAGCCTCGGAATCAGTCTTAACCTTCTACATAAGAGGGGGGCTGTGGTGGACAAGAGGTGAGGGGGGCAGATCACCTGAAAATCTCTTCTGTTTGTGTGTTTTGTGACACAAGAAATCTGTAGCCTAAGCTAGACCTGACTATTTGATCCTCCTTCCATAACCTCCCGGGGATTGAGTGTGTGGGCACATATCATCACACATGGCTTGAATCTCTTCTGGGTGACTGGGTGGGGGACCCATTGGCAGACGCTGCCCGAGGGTGGTGGACAGGCAGCGTTTCCATGAAGGGTTTCAATAGGATGCAGAAGGCAGGCTTAAGGTTTGCCTGTGAAACAGAACCAGAATAGAATTGTTACTGCATGGAAGACGAACGAAAACTGCAAAGGATCCTGGGGGGCCAATCAAGCAGGGACCAGAGCAGAGTTAGTCTCACTCTTAGGGCCAGGAGTTGAATCTGTAAATTGGTCCACGTGGTTTCACCCCCCCCCCACGACAGGTTTGCCTTCTTATTCCCATGTTGGCAACTCTCAGCATCCTCCTTTCCTCCCATAACCACTTTTGAAGATCTTCAGACCTCCCCCACATCCCTGTCCCCTCTGGCGTGACTTGAGCAGCTGCATGAGGGTGCCACGTGCCCACTGGAGGTATGCCCTCCACCGTCATACCTTCCTGGCCTCTGAGACCCACGGCAGACACAGTGGAAACTGTGGTCCCAAGAACCACTACTATGAAACTCTATAGACAGGGGCCAGCTAGCTCTGCCCCTGAAAAGGAGGTGACTGTTGTTTGCTGCTAACTGGCTGGCTGGGGTCTCTAACATATCTATGGGTCCTGGTTCATGATTGGTTGTAGTCAATTATTTGTTCCTAGCCCAGAATGCCTAGATCTGCAGGGATCCCACCTCTCTCCTCTCTCCTCTCTCTCTCTCTCTCTCTCTCTCTCTCTCTCTCTCTCTCTGCCTTCTCTGAATATTGGATATGGAAGCAATTATGTTAGGTTGCAGTAATTACTATTATGTAACTATAGCTGGGAACGTGTGAATCAATGCTATACCCATTTCTCCTCCCTCTCTTCCTCTCAACAGTATTGGACAATGCTAAGTCCTTGGGGGCTGGGGGGATCAGCACATTTTTAAAGAGTTGACAGCCACCCCTGCACACTGCAGCGTAGGACTAATGAAGACACAGTGTAAGGAAGCCTCTAATTGAATCCAGCATGAAGCAAGCGGAGCTGAACACGGCACCCGCAGCTGAAATCCCACGTGTTGGCTCCTAACCCTCCCGGACAGCCAGCACGAGAAAATATTTCTGGACTGTGTCTCAGGCAGCCTGTTCTATCCACATGGCCAAGAGAGAACAAGAAGGGCCCGTTTCCTGGGTAGAGGCGATGGATTATCAGGGATCTGAGATTACCTATGATAAAAGCTGTTGTTGGCTTGACTAAAGGGCAGGCAGAGGGCAAGAAAAGAAATAAAGAAGCCTGAGAACAGAGGTGTTTGGGCGGGAGCGCTCTGCTTCAGTTCACGTCCATTCCCAGTTTGCGTGGGTCAGCTCCGGTTGGCTGGAGGTGGGCGGCCTCTCCTCCATCACTCTGGGCAAGCGCCATCCATGCCCTGCTTGGCCTTGCACATCCCTCGATACGCAGATTTCCATGTGGGGCAGAGTGGGAGTACATCTTCCTTTCGGAATTCCCGGCTGGTGATTCACAGCATGGCTATCCATAGCCAGCTGTTCTGTCTCCTGGGGCCATCCCTGGGGACGAGCCCCCCCCCCCACTCCCTCACCCCCACCCCCACGCTTGGTCCTTGGTGCTGTATGACTTTCTGGCTGGGGATGTAAATTGCTGAGTGGCCCACAAGAGATCTGAACCTGAGATGACCGAAGGAATCCTGGGTATGTACACCACTGGGCCCCTCCAGCCAGCTGTTGCTGGAGTTGTTGAGTGCAGGCTGGCTTGACTCGGATCCCCTTGGGTCATTTCCACGGCCTTTCACATGCCTTGTGCCTCCTGTGTCACCGAGCAGTGCTGTTTAGTGGCTAAGGGTCTCCTCCTGGCATGCCAAGACTGTGGACACCTCCATTCCGATCCCAGGTGCTGTGTCCACTTGTGGAGACCCTGGCAGGCTTGTGCAGTGGCACCGACCCCTCGTGTCCCATCCCTTTGGGTTCCTTTTGGTTAAAGGCACGCAGTCGCATGGCTGCTTAATGCGTGGGCCGTGCTCGGCCTCTACACAGAGGAGGGGGTGGCATGGCTCAGAGAGCGGGGTCATCTGTGCAGCCCAACTCTGCCCTAGCCTCAGAAGCCCGCACCAGAGCTGCAGGGAAGTCCCTGGGTGTCTGCGGAGCAGGTGGCGTCCGTCTGAACACCCAGCCCTGTCAGCTGTTGAGAGCCCTAGTTGGAAGAAGCATTCCAGGGACATTCCTTCTGTCTGGAGCAGGGACTTGGCCTGAACCTTGAACCGAAAAAACCAGAACAAGCTGCACCAGCTTGCTCCACCTCAAAACAAATGCTTTTTTTTTTTTTAATAGCACGGAGAACAAAATCCAAGTTCTGGGGTTGGCATGTTTTGTTTTCCCACCAGAAAACAGTTAGTGAACAGGACTAAACTGGATCCTCTGACTGAGTTGGGAGGAAGAGGGCTTGTGCAGGGTGGGTTAATTCAGTTAGCTCCCATACAGGCAGATGCTAGAAGTCAGGCCAACATCTGCAGAGATTGCCTGAGGATGTCTGCAGGCTGGAGAAGCGGAGGGGACTGGGGCTCTGTCCTGCGGATAGTGCTGGCAGCCTGTGGCGGGGCGGGGGAGAAATGTGTGGTTTTTGAAGCCTCCTGGCAGCCACAGGACAGGGTGCAGAAGCCTCCAGATGAAACTGACCCATGGCATACCCTTCTTTATGAAAAAAAAAAAAGTGGTTGCTTCCTCTGGGTCACATGATCTTTTCACCCTGATATGCACCATGGTACCGAAGAAAACACCTTCCCAGAGTGCCACCCCTGACTGGAGGGGCTTTTACCACTCTGTCTCTTTCGTGCCACTGTTGATTTTCTGTCTGCTCAGCAGACCCTGAATCCAACTATCATCTTCTTTCTGTAGTCAGTACCCCACTACAGACTGTGACCTGGTAGGATTTCTGGCCCACTGGCACCAGCCGCCAAATGTTGTTTTTATCTGAGTTGTTCTGTTTACCAATAAAAAGTCAGATGTTGGAATGAAAACCTGGTTCATCAGAGAAGCCCAGAAGCAACCAGCTGACCTTCCTTTCTGGCCTGAGACCCAGCAAGAAAAGCTCTCCACTCTTCCCAAACCAAAAAGACTGTGAATCTCTAAGTCCCTCCCTCTCCTTCCTCTGTCTCTCTATCCACATTTCTGGGTCCTCCGTACTCTCTAGGGCTAATTATTGTCAACTGGTTGCTGGCTCTGCCCCCTGATCCAAGGTGAATTTTATTAACACTGCCTCGGAGTTTCACGGCGTGGGCAGGTATCCTGAAACCCACCGTGATAAGAAACACCTGATAGAAGTGACCTACAGGAGGAATGGCTGCTCTGAGTTCACGGTTTCAGGAGGGTCTCAGTCCATCCCGGCAGGAAGACGGACTGGCAGGTGCAGCCCTGTCTTTGGTCAAGTGGAAGGAAGGGAGCCGGCGGCCTCAGCTTGTTCATGTGATGGAGACAAAAAGCAAAGGCAGCGGGCCGGAGACAGAGGTGGGTGTGCATGCCAAAGGTCGCCCCCAAGCCAGCTACTTCTACCAGCCAGGCCTCAGCTTCTAAAGGACCCACAGTCTTCAAAATGGTACCCCAAGTGGAGCAAGCAAGGTACATTACTACTCTGAGAGGGTGCCTCCCTAGAAATCCTATTAGATTCCTCTAGAAGCTTGAGTTTGGAGACTGTAATTGAATTTGCTCCCTGACCTCCTTTGCTTCCTCTGGATTCCCCCAGGTAACCTGGGATCTAAACCAGTCCCACCAATACACAACCAGAGCTGGGGCCGCCCTAGGAAAATATGTTTGCTTCCCGTTACCTTCAGTCCAAAGCGAGTCCACAAAAGTGCTTCCTGGCTCTGTTACCTTGTACTGGTTGCTTGCCCTCTCTGAGACCTGATACCTTTCTGTATCAAAAGGAGCTACATCTGTCCTTCAGAAGGGTCTGTGGAAATGAATGTGTTGTGGTAACATGCCCTGACCTGGCACAGGGTCCCCTTCTTTTACCTGACGATAGCATCTGCATGGTGGGGGTGAGGTGGGGAGCTAGGGTCACAAGATATGTTTGGCTGAGTTCAATTCAATCAGGGTTCTGTAAAAGAGGTTAAATTTAGTTCATATGTAAATTTAGCAAATAAGTGTGGTTTGGGGCTTGCCCTCCCCCCTTTTCTGTTTATGGCTTGGTTCCGCCTCTGTCTCCCTAAGCAATCATCCACACAGCACTAATTAAGACATCTATGGAGCTCCCAAAAAGTGAAATTCCGAGACCCAGATGCCTGCCAAAGCGTTCTGGAACTTATCACATGTTTGTTGTTTTTTGTTTTTGTGCTCAGTACCATCCAGAACAGCACTGGTCCTTCATGGCAGGGGGCAGCCCGATAGTGCAATGCTCTGCCAGTGACTTTCCCAGTGCCATGCCACTAACTCTGAGCGCCTCCCCAGTTTCTTGGTCCTTAGGGAGAAAAAAAAAATCCTAAGATTTAATCATTTTTGCCATGAGGACAAGACTTAGAAAAAACAAAATTGAGGTAGAACATATAATTCCTCCGGTGGACACTCCTGCCATGGTCTTTTGAAGGCTGAAATGTATCTCTTCAGGCGGGACCCTGGGTCTCAGCTCCTTACCCTGTCTTTGTCTGTTCCAGGGGCCACGGTCCCTTCATAACAGTTCTGCCAAGAACGATACCCACTTCTCCTCCCATACACTTCCCAGGATGGCCACCCAGCCGGTGCCCAGGCTAAGCTGACCCAGACTGGGTATGAGGGGACAAGAGACAGCACATAGTGACACAGGGAAAGTGGTGGCTGAGGGAGGGGGGGCAGCGGACACAGAGCATGAGATGCATACCGTCCAATCTGTGATGTCTCCAGGCATCTTGCATCTGAGTGCTTGGCCCCCAGCTTCTCCAGACTGTGGAGCCTGGAAAAGGACAGGCTTGGTGACAGAGGTGGTGTGTCAGCGGATGGTTGGCCTACCAAGGTCAGGCCTGTTGCTTCCTGGTCAGCTGACACGTTAGCAAGCCTCTGTCTCACATCTGCTACCGGGGACAGAGCGCCTCTGTTCTGCCATCCACCACGGTGCACAAAAAGCTTTTTGAAACCCTGAGCCTGAACACCTCTGTCCTTAGTTCAGCTGTTTGTGTTGGATGCTTTTGTCACATTGGTGATGAAAGTCACTATTCCATGTTTAGAGGCTTCAAGGGATCCTGGGATGCTTCAGAACAGAATGATGTATGGTGCCTATATCATAAGAATCAGGTACTTGAGGGGTTGCCAGATGTGTGCGTTTACAAAGGTGAAATATCTCATTGGAAGGCTTTACTTTGAAAGTAGCTGGGGAAAGAAAAAGAGGCAGAACTCTAAAACAAATAATGTATCATGCAAGTCTTTGCTGGCACAGTGAGTTTGCTCTATGTCATGGAAAGGTGAGTATTGACATATGCCCTGGATGTGACGGACTGACTGAGTTTGCCACTGAGATCAAAGTTGGAATTGCTTCCCCCGCACAAGGAACTTACACATTTAACCCATGGACATATTGCCACAGAAGAAACCCTGCTGCCTGCCAGAGCATTCTGGAATACAAAATATTAGGCCCTGGTCAACATCTTAGGACCCCTGCACTTCTGTTGGGGTTCCTTCCAGTTTACTTCTCAAGATTTTCCAGGGGAGAAAGGTGTCTGTGTAGTTGCTGCCCACAGGCCGACTCTTTCGCGATCCATAGCCAACATAAAGTTCGTTAGCTTGTCCCCCAGGTTATAGAATGACACCATGTTACAAGAGCGGTCCTTCACAGGTAGCCTTGTTTGTGGCGGTTCTAGGAGTGTTCTCAGGTCCTGGTCCCAGGATCCTCCATCACTTCTGGTGATGGTCTGTGGGCACCAGGGTGGAGCAGGGCAATGAGTTCATGTCCAAAGGCACAGGCGAGCTCTAATTCATATCCAAGGTGGTCAAGGACTTGGGGAACACTATTTCTGGAGCTTTGAACCCCTTCATTACGAGACAGTGCCATTCAGATGCCTTTTTTGGGTGTGTGTTGAGGTATGTAATTAGCCTGCCCGAGGCCTTGAGCTCTCAGAACACGGAGAGGCTCACACACGAGGATCTCACACGTCTAACTGCCCTCCCCGATTCCAGGAGAAGTGACAGGGTGCCTTAGCTTGTCTTCCCAAGCTTGACCCAAACAAAACCAAGGGGGTCTAAGTTCAGGTGAAACTCAGTAGCCAGGGACATACTTCTTGGAAGGACTGGCTTTTTTGTCTTCTCTGAGTGGTGCTATACCTACATCACAGGTTCCTGAGTAAATGGAAGAGCTCTTTGCAGTTAACGGCACAGTGGTCAGAACAACAAAACAAAGCCAGTCCAACACTGTATGACTCAGAGTACAGAAGGGTACACCGGAGTACACCAGAACAGAGTACACCAGTCCACATGATGCGAATAAATGATCAATAAATTAGTAAGTAGGAAGAAGAGGCCAATCTAAAGAGAAGAATTCTTAGAATTCCTATAGCTACCCACTTTAAAGGGGATGGAGCGTAACTCCCTCCTCCTCAGATGTGAGTTACAGAGTTAGGTGACTTCATTGTGGTATGCATATCACATTGCCTGCTTGTAGACAACCTAGGTGGTTTAGCCTACAACAGACAACAGCGTATACACCCAAACTACGTAGTGTACACCATTGTACGGGTAGGTTGCCGGCTGAATGCCATTGTGTGACGTGTGACTCTGTTGGATACAAGCCTCGCCACACATATTTGAATGAATTCCCATCTTTCCTCAGATTCTTCACATGGATTCTGGGATGTCAACTTTCACAACAAAATGGGAGACTGTATATGGGGAAGCTCCTGGCCACGAGTCTTCTTTACATCAGGGTCACTTGAAGTGCCTGGTACCCAGGACCACAGGAGACTATAGGGCTATGCCGTCCAAAGTGGTGGCCCTATGAAGCCACTGAGAACATGGTGCTGAAAGTAGAGAAAACACATCAGGTGTTAGAGCCATAGTGTTGGTCCTTATGAGCTATTTTATGCTGATTGTGTTGAATGGATATTGTTTGACTATTCTGGGTTAAATGAATGGATTATCAAGCTTAAGTCTTCCTACTTATTTTTCTTGTTCTTTCCTCTCCTCCTCCTTCTCCTTTCAGTTTTTTGGTTTACTGAGACAGTCTTCTTGTAGCTGAGGGTGGCCTCAAACTCATTATATAGCTGAGGATGACTTGAGTTGCTGAGTCACATTGCCTAGATAATGTGATGCTAGAAACCAACCCCAGGCATTGAGGATGCTAGAGCATGTCTGTCTTTCTATTTAAAAATATGGCTAAGGACTGGGATCATAGCCCAGTGGTAGGTTGATTGCCCGCTATGCCTGGAGCCCTAAGTTCAATTATGAGCACAACAGAAACAAAGCAAATGATGTGGGATGCAATGAAAGTAGTCCTAAAAGGCAGTTTTATAGCTGCGTTAAAACAATCAGAATGATGTCAAATAAATAACAATGTACCTTGGAGTCTTGTAAAATGTGAGCAAGCCAAACTCAAAGTCGGTGAGTGGAAAGAAGCCGTGCAGGGCAAGACTTAATGGAATGAAAACAAAGAACAATATAAAGAATCAAAGAAACAAAGAACTGGCTCTTGGACAAAATAAGCGAGACTGACAAAACTTGAGTGAAATGAATCAGAAGAAAGAAAAGACCCAAATTAATAAAACTAGAAATAAAAAATGAGCCATTACAACAGATATCAGTGAAATTCAGAAACTCATTAGGACTACTTTGCAACTAAAACTCCACAAAGACACAAGATAAAAATTACAGATCAATATCCTTGATGAACATAGGTGCAAATTTTTTTCAACAAAAATATATACTTGCAAGCCATATTCAAGGACACACCAAAAAGATCATTTACAGAGTCAAGTTATCTTCATTCTAGAGATGTAGGGATGGTTTAAAATATGCAGATCAAGAAATGTAATACATCACATAAACTAAATCAAAGATAGAATTATATGATGATTTCTGTAGCCAACAAAAGGCTTTTGACACAATCCAACATCACTTTTGATAAAAGCTCTGAAGAGACTAGGAATGGAAAGGACATATCTCAATGTAATAAAGTCTATATAGGACAAACCTGTAGCCAGCATCATACTAACTAGAAACACTCAAAGCATTTCTATTAAGAAGATAAAGTATCCACTTTCTCCACTCTTCTTCACTATGGCATTTGCAATCTTAGCTAGAGTAATAAGACAAGATAAAAAAATAAAAGGGATACAGATAGGAAAGGAGAGCATGCACATGTATATGTGGTGGACAGAAAACAACCTTGAGTTGAGACAGAATCTTTCATTGGCTTGGAACTTATCAACTAGAGTGGACTGTGGGAATCTGCTTGTCTCTACCTCCCCAGCCTTAGAAACAAGGCTGTTACCATGCCCTCCCTGACCTTTAAAAAAAAGACATTGATTCTGAAACTCAAGTTCTCATGCTTGCAAAACTGCTAAGAGGAAAAACTGAATGGGATAATAGGTAGATTAGTGTGAACTTAATCACACTAATAATAATAATAGTGAGTAAAAGAGTGAATACTTGTGTGTTATTATTTATGAACAATTTACATTGGTATAGATTTTTGTATATTGATACAAGTTTAAATTATATTTGTTATATTGAATATGCTTCTATTTCTGTTTATAATATTTGTACACCTATGCAAAGTTATTTTTTCAGATCGTATACATGCATGTTTCCTCCTCTGTTTAAGACATTTTGTGTATTGATACAATTTTAGGATATATTTATCATATTGAATTATATATTTCTACCTCTGATCAAGATACTTATGCATTGTTTGCATTTTGAGGTCATTGTTCTCCTTTACTGCAAAGTTGTTTAAAGATTGTTTAATATTTTGATATGAAGTCTTAATCTTTAGGTTATATAGGTATTAAGTATTATAGGTCAATAGTCATTCATGTTTGTTATACTTTTAGTCAGACTAATTAGGTTCTTTAGATACATAGAGAGTGTATTCTGCATAGAGAGGTAATCTTCAATCACTTCAAAGATCTGTAGAACATGGCATTTAAATAATTTAGGATTCTGTTGATGTGAGACACAATTGCTCCTGGCAGCACTGATCTATTCCCAAGAGAGTGTTGAGCACCAAAGACACTCCACTTGGAGTTTGTTTTCTTCTTGGCACAACTAGCCTTTGGGCAAGGAACTGCTCATGCCTCAACCATTGACAAAATGCACGATGTCCAGACTAGAAAAGCAGGATACAAGAAAAAAGACAGTCAAATCTTGCAAAGACAGGGTAAGGTGGTTTTGAAAGTTTTTCTACCTCTGAAAACAGTCTGTCAGTTACTGTAGGCCTTAGTTGCTTCAACATTGCAAATGAGACTTCGGGTAATTGCTCAGTCAGCAGTTGTCTCTGTCATCTACTGCACATTTTGGAAGATTCTTGATTACATTTCCTGCCTATTCAAGTAATATTATCTCCCTTCTCAGGACTTTGATGGAGTTGAAGAGTAGATAGTTGTAGTTACTTTCCTTTCATGACTTGGCCAAATTATTTATAAGACTTAGACTCTTTTAGCATAGAATGTTTATTAAAACATTAGGATATGTTTCTTGCTTAATATTGTTGATGTTGGTTGTAATTCTAACTTTATACTTAATATCTGCTCCCAGTGTACATAGTTTTGTTTTAGGTTTAAAATTCTTTTATTTAAACAAAAGGGGGAGGTGCTGTGGGAGCTACTTGGGTGTGGTCTCTTATACTATAAATACAGCTGTAAAGCATGTACTCGCTCTATTTTTGGGGACTGGGTTGCACAGAAACCTCTGTCAACAGAAGCCTCTGTCAATAGGTGCCAATGTGGACAACTAAATCCACTTAAAACCTGAGAGAGT